AACCAAAAGGTTCAAAGTATCAACAATACAAAATTTTGATGTGTCCCGAGTTTTGATTGGACTTGTTCATGGATTAATGGTAATTAATACTATTGTCTGGTTCAAACACAGGATTCGAGCGAATTAGGACTGACCGGTTCAGCAACAGCCAATTGGTCCTCACTAGACCTGTTCATGGGTCGGGCTTTTACTCTTCATAAACAAGATTTTGTTAGGCCCAAGCCCGAGCCCGGCCCGACAAACGGGCCTATAACTTGGGCCCGAGCCTGGCCCTAATAAAAAGCCCAAAGCCCGACCTAACAAAAAGATAAATCGATGTCTATGTCTGTCTGTGTTCACTGCTGACCAAACAAAAAGAGAGGAATAGAACAAAAGGGCAAAGAGAAAGGACTCGCCGCCGGTGCCTGAGTTCACGTCTGATAAATGAACTGAGCTGAGATTCTGAGAGTGAAAAGGAGAAATGAGAAGAAGAACAACCGAACAATGAAAAGAGAGAGTGAGAGAGAGGACTCACCAGTCACCGTTGGAGTTCACTGGTTGCGCCGGTTTTGTCTTCTTGAGAATGTTTGGTTATGTGAGGTTGTGACTCAGAAGGGAGTTTGTTCGACTAAGAAAAAGAAATAAAATAGACGGGCTAATAGGGTTTAACTTATACAAAAGTCAGGCCGAGCTGGGCTTTTTTAACAAATCCCGAGCCCGGCCCATAAAATAGTCGGGCTCAGGCTTTTAGGCCCGAGGTCAAGCCCGCGGGCTAAAATACATGCTCAATCCCGTCCGGGGACCGAGCCGGGCCAGGCTGGCCCGTCGGGCTACCCGGCCCATGAACAGGTCTAGTCCTCACCCCATAAACATTACGGGCTATCTAACTATTTTCTACACAATTGGGAGGCCCAACTTCCAACCCAAGCCCAAAACGACTCGATCCACACTGTTATATAGGTTGGGCTTGGATTTTTTGTCTTCGGATTGGGCCTACACCCAAAAGTTCAGACTTTTTTATTTTTTGGGCTTGACCCAAGCCTAGCCCTTAGGTGGTCCGAGCCTAACCTGAACCTTACTGGACCTTATCCGAACTCAAGCCCAGCCTAACCATTTCCATAGAAACATACAAAGACATTTTTTGCATGCACACATACACATGTTTTTTTTTGGTTCATACATATAAATAAATATATACATACATATAATACATACACATTTTTCAGTATACAAACATGTTATGTCAAATTTCAGTTGGGCCCAATTGCATCAAATTTCATTGCAGGTTGGACATATCAGGAGGCTCGGTTTAGACTTAGGCCCCTTAGGCCCCAATTGGACATGGGTTGAGCTTAAACCCTACCCAGCCTATTCTAATCTGCTAATCATATACCTGATTTTGGGCTACATATCAGTAGAAGAACCTCTTGCACATTCATTAATTCAATGCATCATAAGCTGAGAATTGATGGCTAAGACGACAAGACTCGTTACTTTTTCCGCCACAATTTAACATTTTCCATAACTGCAGTCTATGATCTTTCAGCTGCAAATATTAGACTGGAGATTTGTGGAAAGGATGCATTATGAGTGAAATCCCTATAATCTACCTGATTGAGTGGAGAGTTCTGAGCTAGGAAATATTCCTAATGAAAACTTTCCCTGAAAGCCAATGAGCCAAAATAAACTTGTAATATTCTTCAGTTAAAGGATCCTTGGAGTAAGGTGTCGGGTTCAGGGCGGGGATCATATTTTCCGTTCCCACCCCCGATTCTGAAACTAACCCCCATCCCAGTCCTTAATCCTCGCCGGGGATAAAATTTGTCCTCCATCCCCCGGATTCCCGACAGGGATGGGTTCCCCACTGGGACCCAAATCCCCCAATTTTTTTAGATAATAGTATTTTTTTGAAAATAAACTTACTTAAAATAAATAAAAATTTTAAATTATAAATAATGTTTTAAATATGTTTTGATATATATATATATAAATAATATATGTTTAATATAAATAACATTTAAATATATATAAATATATAATCAAGGTCGAAACGGGGCAAGGACCTCAATCCCCATCCCAACCCCAGCCCCGATCGGGCATTCCTATTAATCCCCATCCCCAACCCCCATCGAGTCAGGGCAGTCAGATCCCCATCGAGGATGGGGAAAATTATCATCCCTAGGTGATGCATTGACAGTAGAACTGGTTAGTCTACTGTAGGGGTTAAGGCTTGAGAAACAATTGGGCTTCGACAATCTAGAGGTAGAAGGGGTTTCTCAAGTAATCAATCTCATGGACCAACAAATGGAATAGCAGATTCTTTGACTAAACAAAGGGCTGGAAGTCAGCAAATGTTTTGGGCAAATCTGTAATCTTTTGTTGTTTTGGGGCGGAATTTACACCCAAGCTCTCGTAACTCCTAAATTTTCATCAATATTTTTTTACTGATAAAAAAAAAAAAAATCTTCTTCAGTTAAAGGACTTGAGGAAATCCCCTTCCGAATCAAACATGTGCTGCTTAACGAGAGTTGGCAAGCAATTGAAGTTTACAATGCATTCTGTTCAGAGATAACAGATTACATCTGAATATTGGCCCTTCATCATCCAATTAAAATTTCACAAGGAATAATATGAAGCCCGAGTTCCCATGGTTTTAATAGTTACGTCCCCATGTTTTCAGAAAATATTTGTTGAATGCTGTCCCTGCTAAAGCAAGAATAGAGCATACATGGAGGTCAAATAGACTAATGGTGCGATGTACAACCAAAAACAATGATCAGAATATACAGACAGTATTACTCGTGACAAAATTGCCAAAACAAACAGCATCAAATATAAAGCAGAACATCAGTAACCCGTATAAGATGCAACACCAATAGACTATTTTGATACGAGGAAACCCTATTTACACCGTTCAACTAATGCACTCACATAAGCATAGTTGACTTTCAACAAGGAGAGGCATCAAATTCTATAACCCTCCTATAACTCCGACCGCAAGGTCCACAACTCTAATTAGCTCACTAAAATCCACCAGCAAATTTCTTTTCTTTTTTAATTATATATAGAGATTATGCTTTTATATAGAAACCCTAAAGTAGCAGCACTAAAAATATGTTACCACTTACCAGAGCTCAAGCTCATATACTTTCTAGGTTAATGGATAGTATACGTTAAAATTTGGATAAAATACAGAGATCTATCCTGTATTTTGGGGGTAGTGACACTTAGGTCCCCGGACTTTCATTTGCAACAGAGATATCAAGTGCTTTCAGATCCTAACACTCTGCTCCCACCATTAGCATTCTGTCAGTTATGAATTTTAATGAGACAATTTTGCCCCCTCTATTGCATCTCCAAAACCCGAGTTATGGAGAGTTGAAAGCAGTAGGTCACCTGTCACTGCCGAGGAAGTACATAGTGACCAGTACTTAGGCTCAGGAGTCAGGATGTACGCAAAATAGAAGATAGGAAGAGTTCAAAACTTGGGTTTTGGAGATGCAATAAAGGAGAGAGCAAAATGGTCTCATAAAAGTTCAAAACTGACAGAATGCTAACGGTGAGAACAGAGTGTTGCAAATAAAAGTTTGGGGAGCTAAGTGTCGCTACCCCAAAGTACAGGACAGTTTTTTGTACTTTATCCTTGAAATTTTTATCAAACAAAAGCATTCTAAGTACTACAAACCTTCTATCTAGAGTTCAAATTCAAATTGGTTTGAAAATATTCAAGAAACAAATATGGGAACTTGATAGAACAAAGCAAATTTTTTCACTCAAGAACTTATGTTCTTTGTTGCAAGAAAAGTTCGGAGGAAAAAGATAGAAATAAAAAAAAAAACGACAAAAGGAAGTTTTGGACATGAATAGAGCAGAAATGTAGATGGATGACATAGATGTAAGAGAAAAGCAAGAAGTCCAACCAAAGAACATACAGAAAAATCCAAACTAAAAGAATAAACAGGAATTCCCAAGTAAAGAAAAGCTTAGCCCATGCATATCAGGGGAATTGTTTTTTGAAAAATTAAGAGGCATAAACTCAGCTCAACTCAGCATTCCAACTCTTTGCACAAGCGTACATTACAAAAGACTGTAATTTGACTTATTTGGTGGTTATACTGTGGGGATAAGGACTTCATGCAAGGCGCCTTGGAACTTGGAAGTCAATGAACGATTGGAGAACAAGGACCATTATGTAAAAGATTCACCATTTAAATTAGAAATTCATCTTTGCACCATTTATTGGAGAACATACTATTATAATGCATCTTTATGCTTGTCCTGAAACAGCTGTTCAACAACTAATTGCAGGGTATAAATAAAATCGGTGAGGATAGGGAGGAAAGGAATACTTAAGAAACATGAGGAACAAATTCCTTAGAAATTCTACAAAAAGACAAATAAAGTAATAGAGAAGGAAATTTCATATTTGCCAATCTAACCTAAGGTTGATTATGGTTTCTGACACACCATAAAATGCCCTGTATTGATCAAAGAGAGAAAGCATGCACTCCATGCAAAAAATGACAAAATCATATGAACATGGAAGACAACACCATTACAAGATCATGCCAACATGGAAACATGGAAAATATCTAATTCTGGCCCTAAAAATTACATGGGAAGCATAACAGAAGACCATTTAATCATAAGACTACTACCAATGCAAATCCCCAATTCTTAGCCTTACTTTCTCCCCAACCACAGTGACAGTTCTTTACTAAAGCATGCAAATAAATCACCCTCAGGGAAGTCTCATGAGACGAATAGAACATTAAAATATAAATATAAGTATGACGACATTGTCCGGAAAATGAAGAGGGAATAAAACTTGTCTTACCTTAGTGACATATTTCAAGAACTCATGGTTTATTTAGTCAAGAACAATAGCAGAACCCATTTGATAAATCAGTATTCACTTAATCATTCCAGTCAATAATCTTGAAAATTATGAGTCTCAATTTCCACTCAAATCTCTCAAGGCTCAGAATATTATTGAAACTAACACGAGATTGTTTAAATAATAGGTGACAAAAAAATTATTATTGTATAAGAGCAGAACTCATTGTTCTAAAGTTCTTGGATAGATAAATATCTAATCACAAATTACTGTACAAAAAGGTTCGGACATAAGAAGACATCAAACTCTCTTATTCAGAAAATAGTATTATCCATCAAAATCATTGAAAGACTTTTTCTGGATAAGCAAACAGTGAAACCAAAACAACGAAGAAACTAACCTCTAAATCAGAAAATTATATCTTCATCCTTCTCATTTGCTGCAAACAACAAGTTGTGTGCAGAATTTACTGAAATCCCTCTCTGCAGGGAAACTTTCTCCGCAAACTGCTCCTCTGCATACTGCTTAGCCGCTGCCCTCTGCCTCTCGATCTCCCTCTTCTTGTAACCCTGTATCTTCTTCAATCTAAAGAAGTCTTCCCTCTCAAGCTCGTCCAGCTCCCCCTTGATGTAACTTATTGTGTTCTCCAACCTCGGCTTCACAACATTCTCCAGAGCATTAACCCTACGGTTCGTAGTCTTGATCGCCTCATCAAGCGTCAAGAACGACGTCTGCAGCGACGCAAGCTCAACAAGGACCTCAATCGCTTTGACATAAGCAGCACGACATAGTTGAATCTGCTGTCCACCCCGGGCTAGCCCAGTTAGATCATTTTTTGTCTCACCTTCAGTGAAGTAATCAAACTTGGGGAGCTTGACGCCAGCAACGTTCTCTTGCCGGGATCGAACTTTCAGAGACGCATTCTTGACATTCTCAAGAACAGTGTGTTTGATATTCTCTCCAGCAACATACTTGGCTTCAGTTAATGCAAAGGCGGAGGACTTCATGATCTCTCCCATGGATTCCTTAGTAGAGACGATCTTCTTAAGGATGGAGCGGAACTGCACGGTCAAGGCATCACTCTTCTTCTTCAGTAGAGCGTGACCCCGCGTTGCGCCAACAAGGCGAGCCTTCATGGCTCCAAGCATTGTAACAGTGGGAACCACATTCAGGCGCTGGCTTTGGCCCGACATCTTCGAGGCTTGATCTGTGCATGAAAAATGACAACTTGGACAACTGGGAAAAATCTCGAGAACACCATCAGAAGAAAGAAAGCAAAGAAAGGAAAAGAAACACTAATCGTTCATCTTACCGAAGATCTAACTAAAATCCCCAAAATTTTGGAAATAATCTAACCCTTCCGGAATCTCAGGAAACAATTCCGGCTGACCTAAAAGGTACGGAATTCCTAAATTCCAGAATTATGGAATTCCAAAGAGAACTAAAATACTTGAAACAAGAATCCCTTTTCCTTCTTCTCTTCTTCAAGGTAAAGCAGGGGCGCACTGTTTTTTCTTAAGAAGCTAACTCTACACCTAAATTCTGAAACGATTTTCTCTGATCCATCAATCTGCTGCTATATAAATTTTAGAAGTTTATCTAAGATATCGATCTGTTTAAAGTCTATGAATCTCGAAATCAACAACCCTACAGATTCACGATTCTAGGAACCCTAAACATTAAAAGATAGATAAAGCAGGAGAGAGATAGAAACGGGTTCGTGATTGTACCTGATCTTGTTCAGGAACAGGAAGCTTTTGATCGTGATTCGTGATCTGAGAAGAATGGAACGATGAATGCACGGGTCTCGTCTCGAGATGGAAACTGGCTCGATAACTCGATTCGCAGTTGCGTGTTTGGAAGCTGGGTCCCAGACTCCCAGCTAGAGCTAGCTAGGAACCATCTGGGAAGTTGGAAGACAGTGAAAGAAAGAGTAATTGGGACACGGGTGTTATAAAAGAGTGGCGGGAAGGGAATATATAGATCGTGGATCGTCGTTGAAGTGGGTCCTACTCGAAAGACTGAATAGATAGCAGCTGCAGGTAGTAGATTGGAACCGTTGGATCTCGCTATTCTGATGGACCTTTGAGAGTGTCTGATTTTTGCCTGTGTTTTGACAACTGATGAATCGCCCTCGTCGACTCGTTGTCGTTGAAATAGCAGTTATGTTTTATCGCTCTGTAAAATTGGTTTATGTTTCTCTAATTAAAAAAAAGCACAAAATGGGTGTTGTCATTGAGTCCAATAGATGTGCTGTGGGACGTTTTGGGGGCTGATTTGGTTTCATAAATTATTAAGCACAAATTCTACATCTCATTTTAACTAATATAGTAATGCCACGTGTATGTAAAAGTCCTTTGATGTGAGACCAAATCAGCCCCATAAGATTGCCCCCCACAACGTCTCACAGACACAGCATATCCTCTCAATGACAATACTAGAAATGATGATGTCATCATTATGAAATGTTTCCAATACATGGTGGGGATGTGCTGTAAGACGTTGTGGGGGGACTGATTTGAACTCATAATTTATCTGGTTATACGTCACTAAATAATGAGATGGGCATGTGATAGGTGATGGGATATGCTCTTCACAAATGAGCGTCTCACACGCACATCCACCGTGCATTAGGAACATCTCCCGTGAATAATAACTAATAAGAACGGGAGATGTTCCCAATGAATGATAGGATGCGCGTGTGAGGCGCCTCACAGGCGCCAAGTGTGAGGAGCAGATCCGGTCTCATGTGATAGACTTGCATAAAAGAAGTAAATGTGCTTGGGGTTAGGGCTTGGTCCATCTAGGGGTGCTCACGGTTTGGGTAACCAAACCGTGGGCCTTTTTTTTAACTGAACCAGTAGTACTGATTTTTGGAAAATTGGTAACTGGAATCGAACCAAAACTAGTCATTAACCGGTTGACCGTTTCGGTTAATCATTGGTTTGGTTTGTCGGTTTTTTGGTTTTTTAGTTTTTATAATATATATTATAAAAATATAATAAAAAATTATAAATATTATCTTTTAAATAATAAATAATATATAATATATTATAAATATATATTTATATATAATACATATTTATTAATTTATAATATATAAAATATAATACATAAATATATAGAAAATATATAGAAAAACACGTATACCAGTCGATTCGGTTAACTACCAGTTTTTTATATTGGTTAACCGAAACTGAACCGGTATCTTCGGTTTTTTAAAAACACCAAACCGAAACTGAATCGACCGATTTGGTTAACCGATTTTTTTGTTCGATTTCGGTTGGTTCAGTTTTTCGATTTTTTTTTTTGTTTTTGCTCACCCCTAAATACATTCATACATGGGGAAATGCTACACATGTTTTAGAATGAATAAGAGAGTTTCCAATGACTCGAATTTGCGTGACCTAGACATCTACTTACATGATTAGGATTCTTTGATGAGCATTACATTTCTCCTAGATTCAATTTTCTCGGACAAAATGGTAAACAATGGACAATACTTTCTAACTCCTTGTTTCCTTCCTTTTCTCGTTGACTAACCTCCTAGGCTCGGCATGACAACCCTTTAGGCTGTGCTTGGAAACGATGCAAATGGAGTGTAAATTCCGGTTTAGGGTAAATTTGCACTGTGGTTCAGTTTTGCTTGTGTTATTGGCAACATTACATTTATGCATTGACAAATGACAAACCAATGCATATTTACATTGATAATAAGATGTAAAAGTACATCAATAAAAAAAAGAAGTAAATTTGCATTCAAATGGGCTTTTGATAAAAAAAGCATATGCTTTATTGAAATTTACGTTTGCATCCATTACAGTTAAAAGTCTGTTTGGTAAGAAGGTAAATTTGTCATTGCAAAACTAACCCAACTTTGCAATTTATATGAACTGTTTTACACTCTACATATTTTCATTCACCACTTATTTGCATCATTTCCAAATGCAGCCTTACTTATTTCAAAGAGCTCATCTCACGAATATACCTCAAGATTCTCCCATTTTGTAGGTCTTTATAAGCAGTTCAGTTCAATTGCACATCTTAGTTTATCCTCTTTCCTCATCTTTATATGTTAGTCAGATTTTGACTGCAATAGATTGCCATTGCTAATGGGAATCGAGCAGATCATGATACTCGGGTCTCAAGTAACTGATCTCATCATTCAAAAGTCCAACACGATCAATAACAGACTTTGCAGACACAAAGGGTCCTGGGCTAATGACCTCAACTGGACCTTGAAGGTTCCAAGTTACGACTATTACACCCCCTTTAAATGTCTTTCAAACACATATCATGTTGGAAGTCCAAGACAAACCTTTTCTTAGGTGGCCTCACAAGCTCAAATGCAACCAAGGAAATTAGGATGAATATTGCAAATTCTACTAAAGTCGTGGACACACCACTGAGGATCATTAGGAACTCAAAAATGAAATTGGGTACAACACAAGAAAGACATGACTAAGAGATGAGCACCTAAGCCTGAAAACAAGCCAACTAGGGTTGTTCATGAAATGATAAAAACCAGCCCAACTCGACCTAAGTTGGACAGTTTCTCAAATGAGTTGGTTGGTTATGGTTTCATTGAATGTTCAGTCCTCCCCCAGAATTCTTAGCTCCACCGTACAATTGGGGTAGGTGTCAATTTGGAATCGATGCCAATACATGGGAAGATATTGGTGTTTAGGATGAAGGTGTTTGAAATTTTGAATTGTTATAGGTCAACAATGGAATTCAGAATTCTGAGGTGGAGTGCAGTCTACTTATCCCTTTTGATTTTGACCGATCAAAAAGATAAGGCATAGGTCTATTGTTTTAGACTTATAATTATTGTAATATTGTAAGTTTTCCCAACTTAAATGTTCACCATTGGATGAATCAATTTAACACATGATTTTGAGCCCATCATACTTTTATTATGGGATAAATTACACTACATTAAATTTTCTATAAGAAAACAATGAAAAAAATGTAATGATGAGCAATTACCTAGTTTGTTCGTAAAAATAGAAGGGGTAATATGTAATCAATGTAAAAAAAAAAACATATATAGTCGATTAACCGATTAAATTGGCCAAATACAAAACAAATGTTTAAATCAGTTTTAGTAGTTTGTTGGCATGTTTTAGTTTGCTTAATTATCAAGCTAACAACATTGGTTCAGTTGGCACAACTAAGAAAAATTGAACCAAACTAACCCATGTACAACCCTAAAGCCAACGTCAAGAATCAAAGCTCGCATCTTGGAAGCATGAAGAAGCTTTGTATAAGTCTTAATGAAATTTAATTTTCATTCCAAATATCTTTCTTTACAAGCAAGACAACTAGGCCCCAAGCCTCGAAGGATCTAACCAAGCTAGACTTGGCAAGGAACAATGGTTGAGCAATGAAGTCGTTGAATCAAACTTTGTAAATTAACTAGTCATGTTGACAAGCCAAGGTTTGATTACCAGTATAAACCCACGTAAGCTTTATGGGGTAGAAAATTCAACCAATGAATTGAATGGTTGAGGCCACTCAAGGGAGCAATGAGGCGGTTTCCCCTAGTCATATTGACCAAGCTATCATGACGACCAAGCCACCACCTAGTGTGGCTTACCTAAAGGCCTAACCGAGTTAGGCTTGATAGGAATGACGATCAATCAATTAAGTCATTGAGTTGGACTCTACTAACACACTAGTTGCACCAATAGGCCAAGACCCAATCACTAGTATAAGCTACCTAGTTTTCCCAAAAGGGCTGAAAGGTTCAATTGAGGAATTGAACAACTTAAACAGAAAAGACCTCGTGTAGGTTAGCTTAGCAGAACACAAATGCATTGAAGAATCAAATCATCCTGACCATCAACTTGTCTTGACTTGCAAAGGCCCCAGACAAGCCACTTTAGCAAGTTTGCTCAATCAGGCCAACTTGGCCTTTGATCATGTGTAGTTGTAACGGCCTTGGACAAAACACCTTAGTTATCACATAAAAAAACTTAGGAATGTGAGATTTGTAGTCAAAAGAGCTCGATTTATAACAAAAACTTCTATTACTTTCAAAAAGTGGCCTCAAACTCTCAAGGCTTACAAAGCATAAAAAGATACAACAATAAAATTTCACAAGCGTGCAAGCCCACTACAAGACAAGAAGAAAGATGAATCATATTGAATTGGGGCACGCCATCAGTCCTTGGTGTTGCTACCTCCTTAGTAGGGAGACTTCACTAGGGTGGCCTTGGCATTCAGAAAGCTGATATTAAGATCGAGACAATACTCAACAACCTTGGCCTCACACATCGAGAACCCATCCATGAAAGTGATCACCACTACAAGAATTTTTGGTTTAGCTGGCGGTTTCCATAATTTCTTTCTAGCGGTCATAAAATTGTTGGCAGCATAGTTTCTTAAATTAAGACAAAAATGATAAAGGTTAAGGGCCCACAATAAATACTACTAGTAATGATTAAAATATAATCATGGGCTACCTTTATTCGAGAGAGTGGTGTGTAAAGAGAGAGAAACCTCTTTCTCCCCTCAAGCCTCATGGAGTATTCATCAATGGCAAAACCAAAAGAATCTCTACCTCTACTAAATTAAACCCTAATAGTGCTCTTTATGCCCTATTTGTGATTTCTTTCCAACCACCAAAATCTAAAATTTAGAAACAAAGTGATTCGAAGGAAAAGGATGACACCATTTGTCATGACCATGCCAAAACCGTAACACACTTTTTTTATTTGAACCCTATCACCATTGTTGTTGTTAACAAGTCAGAGATAGAAGGCAGAGATTGTCCCTCCTTATATCAGCAGACACAATTCCTGAACCGTCGTCGAGGATTTGATAAAAATCCAAAACATGTTTCATTCCTAATTAGTTATCGACAAGAATATTGCAGTCGTCGCCGTAACTCTATCACTAGTTGAATTGCAAGCACCTTTTGAGGGCCGTGTTGTGGGCGTTTACTAATCCCCTATTTA